GAGCAGAGGGAACTGAAGACAGAAGGAAGGACAGGGGCAAGGGTCTTCCCTCTGGAAACTCTGCTCACATACTTCTGCCTAAATACCCAGGTGACAAACCTGCTTAGGAGTCGAAGTTCAGGGGACACTCAGAAATACTTAGGAAGATAGGTACCTTGTGAGCAACTAGGGGAAGGTAAGAGCTGTAATTCATTACTATTAACAAATCCTGCCGCTGTGACTAGAAATACACACATAGATATTGAATGTGAGAGCCTCCTTATAGAACAAACTTAGAGATTTATATTTCTGCCCATCTCCTCTCTATCTCCCCACAGCAGCCAGAATCCTCTTTCTGAAACTTGAATCAGACTGTATCGCTTCCTGGAGCTTAAAGCCCTTCCTGAGACTCCCAGTGGCTCTTCTTCATCTCAGCACAACGTCCACAACCAACAACATGGTCCTTCGAGTTCTTTACAACCTGCTGACTTTCCCAACCTCATCTCTTGCCTGTCTCTTGTTACTCTACGGCTGCTCCATTCAATCTGCTAGCCACTAGCTATATGTGGCTATTTCATTTTGTTTTTCATTAAAATCAGGGAGTTGGAGGTATATCTCAGTTGGTGGAATGCTTGGCCAGTGTGCAGCTGCAGCAAGCGCTGGATTCAAAGCACCACATAACCCAGGTGTGGTGCTCTACACCTGAATGACCAAGCATCGGGAGATTGTAGCAGGAGCATCAGGCATTCGAGGCTGCCCATAATGAGTTTGAGGCTAGCCTAGGTGACTCAAAAATTTAAAAATTAAACGAAGGGCTAAGGATGTAGATCCCTTGCAACTCCCTTGCCATGCTGTCCAAGACTTTGATAGAATCCCAGAACCAACACATATGCATGCACATGCGTGTGCACACACACACATACACACACACACCACAACTTAAGTCAAATGAAGGCTTCCCCAGTCACACAACGCTGGTATCATTTGAAGCACTATCATCACATGTGGCTACTGGGTATCATATCAAACAGTTCACATATGGAATAGTTTATCATCACAAAACTTCTAATGGGCAATGACACTCCCACTAGCAAATCTCCATATGTCTTGCTTTGTAGGAATTCTTCTGCTAAGCCATTTGATGGAAACATTTCTATCTTTTTTTGGTGGAAAATTGCACATAATGGCTTGTTTGTTACAAGAATGTAAGCATCAGTGGAGGAAGGAGCTAGGTGGATGCTGTTTGGGCCTCAGTGGAGGCTGGAGTTAGCTTTGAGGTATTCATCATCCATTTCCCATCATTCCTAAAGGATCATCATCTAGGAAAGAGTAGGTGGGCACTGGGCCAAGATGAAAGGAAAAAGTAATAAAAGGACAACTATCTAGTCATTTTGTTAGAAATGGTGGATACTTTGATCATTTTGATCTAAAAACAGCAATTCCATTTTGCAATCTAATTCAATCTAATAGTAAGGAAAAGTTTAGGCTGGCTATGTGATCCATGTCTGTAACCCTAGGACTCAGGAGGCTGAAACAGGAGGATTATCATGAGTTTGAGCCTAGCCTGAGCTACAGAAAGGCATAATAAAGGAAAGGAAGAAAGAAGGGAGGGAGGGGAAGAGAGAAGGGAGAAGAAAGGGAAGGGAAGGGGAAAAGGAAGGGAAGGGAAGAAGGGAAAGACTTGGAAGAAATGGAGTTGTTTTTGTCAGTTCTTACAAATTCCTTGTGGTTTATGGGTTAAACAAAAGCAGAGTCTGTCCTAACAATGTGTGGTAATTCCTGGAGCAGCTGGTCTGATTGACCAGTTGGTTCTCTGATTCAGGATTTGCCGTGCCCTAAGAGCAGTCTTAACCGTTTTCTGAGTTCTCCTTATATCAGCTGCTGCTGGAGGTATTTTAGATTGATTTTTCCCTTTTAATCCTCACAATGATCTCATGCAGTACATCTGGTACTATCAGATCTATCAAGAGAGACGCACCCAGCAACACACAGATAGAAAATGGAGAGGCCAAATTCATACTGAGGTCAGTCTGACACAGGAGTCTGAGTTCCTCATCGCCCTGTAATGATGGGATAGCATTCCATTGTGAAGTCTCAGCCAGATGTTTGCATGTTCTTTTGATTCAGCAAATGCATGTTGTGTAGTCATTGTGTATCTGTGTCTTAGATGTAATGAGGTAGCTTGAGGCAAACAAATATGGATCTGGCAGGGATGCTACAGTGTGGTTAGAAAGATAATATGCATACACAAAATTGATGCAGCACAATAAAGGAATAAAGGTATGTTGTTTAGTTTTATTGTTGTTTGTCTTTTATTTTATTGGGATATAGTCTTATTCTGTAATCTATGCTAGCCTCAACCTCACAATCCTCCCATGTCAATCAGCTTCCAGCATATTGGATTACAGGTGTATAGCACCACCCCTGGGAAGGATGTTAGATTTAAAGAGAGTAAGGGGGTCACACTTGCAGCTAAAAGCTTTTCTCATGTATGCAGTGGGATAACGCAGGGTAACACAGTGTATCAGTGTGGAGACAGGAACATGGAGGGAAAAAAGCAGCTACCTGACCTGAAAAAATAAGTGGATGGGGAAAATAGTTTTTAATATCTGCCCTGGTTTTTCCACTAGCCAGGTATGTCTCTTGAACTCTTGGCCTTAGACCAGTAACTACTGAATAACTTGAATTGGATAAACTACCAGCATAGAGCACCCAAAATGATGTATAATAGTTGCATTTTACATTTATAATGTATACATTGGACAGATGTGTGATTCCATCAAATTCACACAAATTCTGACTCCTCCTGCCACATGTCTCTTTCAGTTTTTCAATTCTTTGGTTCTACATTTTATTTTTAAAAACATTACTGATGCCAGGGCAGTTGCTACTCAAGAGATTGAAGCAGGAGGATCACAAGTTCAAGGTCATCCTGAGCAACTAAGTAAGACTATGTCTAAAAGAGGGAAGGGGAGAGGACTGGGGGGTAGAGCTCAGTGGTAGCGTTTGCTTAGCAGGCTTGGGGCTCTAGGCTCAAGCCTTCCCAGCACTACAAAAGAGAACAAAAAATGACTGGTAATTTTCAGAAGGTGGCCTGTAGTGCCAAGTTTCAGGAGCAAACAGAGGTTAGAAAAATCCTTAAACTAGAGGGTCAGACGTAGAACTGATTAAGGAACATCAGCATTTCCTTACAGGGCAGAGGATGCTCCTTTAAAAAAACCTGCTCACTGTGCTTTTCTGCAGTTTCCATAGATAGATCAGACAGCAGAAGCTTCGTTTCCAGGAAGGCCTCCACTTACTAAAGTCATTTGCAATAAATTGCTGGGAGCCTCACTAGCCCCTCTTAATTTTTATTGAAAAAGAAAATGACGTACAGAAAGGTATCCAATCTTTACATAAGTGTGTCTCAGTGGAGTAATTCCTCTGCCCACATCACCACCACCAGACCCTGTCACAGGACATTGTGAATTCCCCCACAGCCTCTGCTCAATTCCTACACACTTCATTCTCCCCCAATTTACCTATCATTCTGATTTCTAATGTTGTAGTTCCCTCCCCCATTTAAAAAAATCTGTATAAATGGGATCAAATGAGATGAATTCTTTGACAACACCAATAGGGTCATTTGTGGTGTCATCTGGAGCTGTGGCTCATTCACTTTTATTGCTAAGCTGGATTTCCTGTTATGACCATACTATGGCTGATTTTTCTGTTTCCTGTTGATGGACATTTGAAATATGTGCAGTCTGAAGCTTTAGGTGGAACGATCTTGTGCTTGCCTCACAATGCATACATCTATAGTTATTGCTGTTGGAAGCAAGCTCAAAAACAAACCCAGTAGATCCTAGCTTTTGATCTGCGTAAATGACTATAAATGTGGGTCAAGTCATATGTATAATTTAAATTTGTCTAATGGCCACATTAAAGAAGTTTTAAAAGGTGAAGCTGATGTTAAACATTCAGTTCACTAGTTCTATATATCCAAAATATTCCATTTAAACATACTATTAATATGGAAAGGACTCATTTAAAATCTGTTCACAGTAAGTCTTCAAAGTACCATGTGCATTCTATGCTTTGGGCAATTCCACCACATTTCAAGTGCTTAGAAAAAGATGGTTCAGTGGGTACAGTGGATGCTGTGAAAGCCTGAGGGCCTGAGTTCAGAGCTCCAGCCCCCTGGTAAAAGCCAGTCACAGTGGTACATGCTTGCTACTCTAGTGTTGGGATGGGGAGTGGAAAGCATCCAGAGACAGGTGACTCCCACAGACTCCCTGACTGGCCAGTCTAGCTTCGGGCTCAGTGAGAAACCCTGTTTCAAAAAGTAATGTGGAAAGCAGTGGAGGAAAACATCCAGCATCAACTTCTGATCTCCACACGTGCACACACACACTTGTGTATACACATACACACCATGCCAAACCCCAGAAAAAATTTAAAAAGTGGTTCCTGACCACCATAAAAGATGGTACGTGTCCTAGTTCCTTTTTTATTACCATGACACAACATCACGACCAAGGCAAGCTATTTTTTAAAAAGCATTTAATTTGGGGCTTATAGTATCAAAGGGTAGCCAAGTCCATGAGTCATGGCAGGGAGCAATGGCAGCAGGCAGGCAGACAATGTTGGAACAGTAGTTGAGAGCTTACATGTTGAGACAACAACCATGAGGCAGAGAGAGAGGGGGAGCTAGCTGGGAATGGTGTTGGCTTTTGAAACCTCAGTCTACCCCCAGTGACACACTTCCTCTAACAAGGCCACACCTCCTAATCCTTCCCAAACCGTTCCACCAACTGTGACACTAATACTTAAATATATGAGCCTATGGGAGTCATTCTCATTCAAATCACCACAATATGACTATAAACAAAACCAGCAGTTTCTACAGTGGGTGTGCCAAAGTCCAACACTAAAAGCAATGTAATGCAGCCTTCGCCCATCATTCTTACGCTTGGGACTGTCAGACTTTAATTTTAGCCCTCTATCTCATTTCTTTTCTTAGCTTGCAATTTACCGGTGAAAAAGAGAGTGAGCCCCCTTTTCTGGTTCTGCTCTTGTATTTCTCGTTTTTCTTTCCTTTTCCATAGATGGTTCTTTTTCTTTTCTCTCCAAAAGACAAACCAAAACGACATGCACCACCCACCACCAAAACCTAACAACAAAAATCCTGAGTAATATTTAGACATTAGTTCCTTAAATGATTGCCAGATTTCTCTAGTAAAATCATCTTGACAGAGTTTTCCCAATGGTTTTAGTGATACACTCAATTATTTTATGACTGTAGACAGAACTGTTTAATTTTTCTATTTCTTCTTGAGTTGGTTTCTCCTTGTGAATTTGTTTGTAGGTCTACATTTCCAAATTTGTTAGCACAAAGTTCTTTTGGATGATCCATTTGTCATAGCAGGCTCGGCAGTGGATCTTCAGTTTTCTTCTAGATAATGGTTACTTGTGCCAGGCCCCTTTTTTCTCTTAGTCTCGCCCACTTATATTCTTGTTACTACTTTGCTCCTGCTGTTGGCTTGCTTGTTTGTCTTTGAGACAGCCTGGCTTCAGCTCACTATGTACCAGAGGATAACCTTGAACACTCCATTCGCCTCCTCTACCTCCTGAG